AGGACGAGCGGGAATTAAGCTTGGGGATGCTGATACGTCTCCAACGTATCTATAATTTATGAAGCATTCATGCTATTATATTATCTGTTTTGAATGATTATGGGCTTTATTATACACTTTTATATTACTTTTGGGACTAACCTATTAACCGGAGGCCCAACCCATATTGCTGTTTTATTGCCTGTTTCAGCATTTCGACGAAAAGGAATATCAAACGGAGTCCAAACGGAATGAAACCTTTGGCATCGTGATTTTTTTGAAGAATATCATCCGGGAGACTTGAAGTTCACGTCAGAAGATCCTCGAGGAGGCCACGAGGGTGGGGGCGTGCCCCACCTACTGGGCGTGCCCCCCTGTCTCGTGGGCCCCTCGAGCACCTCCCGACCGACTTCTTTCGCCTATATAGTCCCACGTACCCTAAAAACATCTGAACAGAAGATAGATCGGGAGTTCTGCCGCCGCAAGCCTCTGTAGCCACCAAAAACCTCTCGGGAGCCCGTTCTGGCACCCTGCCGGAGGGGGATCCCATCACCGATGGCCATCTTCATCATCCCGACGCTATCCATGACAAGGAGGGAGTAGTTCACCCTCGGGGCTGAGGGTATGTACCAGTAGCTATGTGTTTGATCTCTCTCTCGTGTTCTCTCTATGGCACGATCTTGATGTATCGCGAGCTTTGCTATTATAGTTGGATCTTATGATGTTTCTCCCCCTCTACTCTCTTGTGATGAATTGAGTTTTCCTCTTGAAGTTATCTTATCAGATTGAGTCTTTAATGCTTTGAGAACACTTGATGTATGTCTTGCCGTGATTATCTGTGGTGACAATGGGATATCATGTGCCACTTGATGTATGTTTTGGTGACCAACTTGCGGGTTCCGCCCATGAACCTATGCATAGGGGTTGGCACACGTTTTCGTCTTGACTCTCCGGTAGAAACTTTGGGGCACTCTTTGAAGTACTTTGTGTTGGTTTAATAGATGAATCTGAGATTGTGTGATGCATATCGTATAATCATGCCCACAGATACTTGAGGTGACAATGGAGTATCTAGGTGACATTAGGGTTTTGGTTGATTTGTGTCTTAAGGTGTTATTCTAGTATGAACTCTATGATAGATTGAGTAGAAAGAATAGCTTTATGTTATTTTACTACGTACTCTTGAATAGATTGAACAGAAATGATAACTTTGAGGTGGTTTCATACCCTACCATAATCTCTTCGTTTGTTCTCCACTATTAGTGGCTTTGGAGTGACTCTTTGTTGCATGTTGAGGGATTGTTATATGATCTATCTATGTTATTATTGTTGAGAGAACTTGCACTAGTGAAAGTATGAACCCTAGGCCTTGTTTCCTACCATTGCAATACCGTTTACGCTCACTTTTACCATTAGTTACCTTGCTGTTTTTATAATTTCAGATTACAAAAACCTTTATCTACTATCCATATTGCACTTGTATCACCGTCTCTTCGCCGAACTAGTGCATCTATACAATTTGCCATTGTATTGGGTGTGTTGGGGACACAAGAGACTCTTTGTTATTTGGTTGCAGGGTTGCTTGAGAGAGACCATCTTCATCCTACGCCTCCCACGGATTGATAAACCTTAGGTCATCCACTTGAGGGAAATTTTCTACTGTCCTACAAACCTGTGCACTTGCAAGCCCAACAACGTCTACAAGAAGAAGGTTGTGTAGTAGACATCAGGAGACGAAGACGACGGCGCGCCGGCCGGCGCTGCCTGATGAAGAACTCACGGGGGTTGTCCCCGACATGGCCCTCCATTGGGGGAAGGACCACGGGAAGAGGCAAGGCCGATGCGCCGCCCCGTCCTCCTCTTCCCCGAGTGCCACGGCGGCCTCGGCCTCGCCCCCTCCCCCTTCCCCTCGCGGCCGGCTCCGCCGCCACGGGCTCTTGTGGAGGAGCGACGCGTTGTCAAGCAAAGACCCTCGCTGCCACCGTCGAAGCGTCAGCGCGCCCTCTCGCCATGGTAGAAGGGAGGAAGGAGCAAGGATGGGGAGAGGCGGATGTCGAAGGACTAAGAGGTGTCGTCCCTCCCGCTCCCCTCCTTATACAGGGGCGAGGCTAGGGTCCGGCCATCCCTCTCAGCCAATCCAGCTCATTGAGGTGACAGCGGGCGAGGCCGTCGACCGTTCTCCCCGCCCATTGAAGGCGCGTGGGAATCGACCCACGCATGCATGTTTTCCTGCATTTCGCGCACGTGTCATTCTCCCTGCGTCCAGCATGCGGCGTATGTGGCGCAAGGGGCGGGCGTAATGGGACGCGTGGAACGACGGTTCCTAGGTGTGGAGAGTAAATGAGCAGCGGCCCTGCGGTCTCGAAGGGACACGCAAGCCACCTCTTTACTGTTCACCGAAGGATGACGCAAGCATGCTTCGATCACCCCCGCGCACGACCCCCACGTCACGTGTCCAACACGGATCGTGGGGGAGCGCAGCGGGTGGAAAAGTTACTACGGTAAAAACCGCCCCGTCTGCCCGCACCTTTTGGGCCTGGCCCAACAACGCGTTGCGCTTATGTGTGGCCCAGGCCTGGGGGCTTCTGTCGGTACAGTGTACTAAGGTAGGGGCACTCCTTTGTACCCCTTATTTGTGCACGGGCAGTCAAAGCCGCACCCACGACCACACTTAAGCAGGGCAGAGACAAGGAATCAAAGCCGCAAGTTGGTCAAAGCAACGCCAAGACAAGGGCGCAAAGAGCAAGAAGGCAAGGTGGTTTCCCCCGGGAAGACCCTTGCCGGGGCGACCCCCACGGCCCCGGCAAGGACCTTGCTGGGGCAGCTTACCCAACGCCAGCAGAGCGCGCCACCCTTGAGCCCCAGTTTTTTCCTACACCACCAACCACGTTGGGACCTAGGCTCGGGAGGCGCCTCCATGATGGCATGCAAATCTTTGTGAAGACAAGAAACACTCCAAATCAGAAGAGGATTAGAAGACGAAGAACCTCGGCGAGATCCTTGCTGAGGAAACCCACAAGACCCCTGGCAAGATCCTTGCCGGGGACGACCGGAACGCCACAACAAGACCCTTACCGGGACCCCGGCAAGGCCCTTGCCAAGGACACCCGCGGGGCCACAACCAGGCCCGCACCCGCCAAGTCTCCACCACCGCTCCCATGCAGCTGCCAGCCCACAAGCTAGGCAGGCGCCTGCGTGTCGACGTGAGGCTTCCAGGCCAACTCAGCACATGCCTACGTGGTGGCATGCAAATCTTTGTGAAGGCCCTACCACCGCGCCACGTCAGCAACCAGCCAGCCTACATGGCGCTGACCGCCTCACTGGCCCAGGCGCGTGTCAAGGTAGGGCGAAGCGGCGGTAAAGTAAGGGGGACACCTAAGAGGTGCATTAAATGCGTCTTGACCCGTAATGGCAAGCGATAGGCTTAGCCACAGTACCCCGATGCCACCTCCTGTGTCCCACTGTGGCGATTCCCTTGCCTATAAAAGGAGGCCCGAGGCATCCAAGAGGAGGATTCGGACCCTTGGACAAGTTAGGCTCATTGTAGCTAGGTCAAGAACTCCAAGAACACAGATATACACATCAAAGCAGGACTAGGGTATTACGCATCCTCGCGGCCCGAACCTGGGTAAACGACCTGAGTGTTTGTGCTGACTGTTGATCCCGCTCTTCTCACGTCCCCGCGCCCCGCAACCGTAGTAGGGATTCTCGTGATCCCATAGGTGTCGTTTCCACCGACACAAAACTAGTACTATACTATTGTTGGTACTTCCTTTGTTTTATTTACTCCATATTAACTTTGTTTAATTTTTCTCAAATCTACAATATCAAATCAATACCATGACATTCAACATTGAATATATTTAACATCAAATATATTTGTTGTAAATATTTATATTGTTTTCTTTACACTTGATCAAAGTTTGTATAATTTGACATAATAGAAAGCTTTTGAAATAGGCTTTCGCTCTGCGCTGCTTTATAAATAAAGAAAAACTTAGGACAAAGCTAATATACTCCCTCCATTTTTATTTACTTCGCATATTAGCTTTGTCTTGGGACAAACTTTCTAAACTTTGAGTAAATTTATACAAAAAACAATTAACATCTACAATACCAAGTCAATACTGTTATAATAATCATTCAATATATTTTCATACCATATATATTGTGAAAGTTTAGATTGTTTTCGATAAATTTGGTCAAACTTTATAAAGTTTAACTTAGGTCAAAGCTAATACGTGCCGTAAATAAAGACAAAAAAAGTGAAGTTTCCTGCCCCAAAAAAAAGAGTTCAAACGCTCCTAGTATAAAGAGTAAAAAAATCAAACAATTCTGAAATTTGTCTAGAGGTGCAATTCACAGCTGTGCAAGTGCACAGGAGCAGAAAGCTCGTCTAGAGGCCATCCGATCAACTTGCAGCCCGTAGATCGGCCGGTGGTTATTGAATGGTCCAAAATGTATTCTTAGTTGCCCAAGGAATACCATCTGATAAAACAAAAGATTATTTGAAAGAGATTTGAGTGGACACTAAAAAATTTCCAACAAAAAGTATTGGTATTAATTATTATAAATACTCCCTCCGTTCACTTTTGTAAGATGCTTTAGAACTGAACAGAGGGAGTAACTCATATAGAAACAATTTCTAAATATTTTAACCCTTCAAAATTTGGATCTATTGAAAAATCCTCTGAATCAAATAGGCCCTAATGTAGTACTCCCTCCGTCCGGAAATATTTGTGGGAGGAATGGATGTATCTATACGTATTTTAGTTTTAGATACATCCGTTTTATGATTTTTTCGACAAGTATTTCCGGACGGAAGGAGTACTGGTATCTTTGACGCTGACAGTCAAACTGATGCAATGGTATCAATTTCCTGTTACAAATGTTTTTTTTTTGCGGATAACCTGTTACAAATGCTGGTAAAGGTTGACATAGCAGAGCAGATGGTCAAACTAAAAAAATGTAAAAATGTTGGAGCGCGACGAGGGAAGTTCATCACTTAGCTCGCTCGATCTTCACTGCAAGGAGATCCGGGAGAAGGGCAGCTGCCCGAGGTTTGGCGTCCCGATGCGGCGGCGCACCCTGGCCATCGCCATCGCCACCGCCACGGGGGGATGTCCGGAGCTGGTGGTGTGACGCTTGCACGCCAGGGCCCGGCGCTTGTGACGGTACGCGCGGTCGACGACGCCCCGGCCGTGGGAGTGAGACGCGGTCTCCCCGTTCGCGTCGCCGTCGCCGTCCCCTGCCTGGTCCACGCTAGAGCTCCCCGCGCGCTTCCTCTTGGCGCCGGGCGCGGTGGCGACGGAGTAGCTGCCTTGGTCCACGTAATGGGCGGCTGAGACCGGGGCAGGGGCCGGAGCGTCGTCGTCGTCGACGTCCATGGCGACGTCCAGCTGGAGCACGTTCAAGAATTTGTCCAGGTCGGCGCCGGGGACGGCGAGGCGCTCGAGCGCGTCGACGGCGTCGGTGAGGAGTTCGACCTCCGCGCTGCAGACGAAGAGGGACTTGAGGCCGGCGAGGAACTTCTTGGCCGACCCGACGACGGCGGAGAGGTCGCTGGTGGCGTCGAGCACCTCCTGCCCCTGCAGCGCCTCCTTCCGCAGCACCTGCAGCCAGCGGTGGAGGGAGCTGCCCCGCACCGCCGCCCGGGCCTCGGAGGCGTCCGCCACCCCGCGCACCATCGCCACCAGCTGTCGCAGCCGGCGCCGGCGCTGGCTTACTTGGGAGTTCCCTTGGGATATTCATCGCGGATCGCGGCTCTTGTCCACTCGCGCAAACCCCCAAATCAACCGCCGGCGGCCAGGTTTGAGGAAGAGGAGGGGCGCTTGGGTGCCGAGGAGTTGGAGCCGGAGGTGGTAGCAGCTATGTGTCGAATATTGTGTAGGTTGTTACGGTAGCCTGTTACGGGTGTAATTCGAGTTGTATCGTGTTTACACGGTATAGAGTTGTGTTTTAATAATTCGTATTTTTACATTTCCAAAAAATCCTGGAAAAAATTACAGATATACACGAAGGCATAATACACATGTGTGTAAGGACTGTGCTAACCAACAGATCCGCACGACCTTCGATCGATCCTTCCGCTCGTTCTGCTAGTGGTTTTTTCTGGTTTTCGCTGCATAATATGAGAAGAAAATAAAAGTGCTTGAAAGAGGATTCGAACCCAAGTCTGTGTAATACCTATTGAGCCTAATAACCAACTAAGCCACCTTTTGTTGTTGTCTATTGTAGAATGACAATGTTATTTGAACCTTTCTTATTTTTGCCATATCAAAAGAAAAAATAAAGTTTGGCTTGGTAACTTTGGCAATGACCAGCGTGATAACTATGGTCTGAGTAACATGATAACTATACCATGATAAGGCTGGTAACTACAGTACGAGAAGGTTAAAAGCATGGGAAAATATGGTAATTTAACATAGAAATTACCGGTGAAATGTTTCAAAAACTTTTTTCCCTTGGATGAAAGACACCATGGTGTTTAAACGTAAAATATTACTTATCAAGTCTGCGATGATACATCATCATGTTATTTACACAGAAATTATCGGGTGTATGTTTTTCAATAAAAAAAATTCAGGTCAAAAGTTACAGTGGCATTTGTATGGGAGTTATCAATTTTGTATGTTTTTATTATCATGTTATTTACATAGAAATTAGCGGGGCATCACCCCCCCCCACCGCCACAGTCGCCATATTACCAGGATCAGGTCTGCGATGTGTGAGTTATCATGTTATTTGCATAAGAGTTATCGTGGTATGGTTCAACAACTCCTCCCACCCCTACCCCCACCGACAAAGTTACCAGGACTGGATACATAATTTATCATGTCTATGATGTGTGATTTATCATGTTATTTGCATGGAAGTTACCATGGTATGTTTCAACAACTCCCCCCACCCCTACCCCCACCGACAAAGTTATCAGGACTGGGTACATAATTTATCATGTCTATGATGTATGAGTTATCATGTTATTTGTATAAAAAGTTATCAGGCCAGTGATGCGTAAACTATCATCATATTTACATAGAAGTTATCGAGAGTATATTTCATCAAAACCCCTCCCTCCGGCAGAGGGAAAAGTTATCATGTTTGCGGTGCGTAAATTATTGGGGGTATATTTCAGCACCCCTTCTCGTCAAAAGTTACCAGGACCGGGGTGCATAAGTTATCGGGTCTCTGGTGTCTGAGTTACCATGTTCACATCAGAGTAACTGGGGATATTTCATCAACACCACTTCCCTCAAAGTTACCAGGATCGAGGTACATAAGTTTATCAGGTATGTGATGTGTGAGTTATCATGATATTCACACAAAAATGACCTGGGATATTTCATCAACGCCTCCCTCCCGATCGCCAAAGTAATCAGTACCGAGTACATAAGTTATCAGGTATGTGATGTGTGAGTTATCATGCTATACACACACAAAAATTACCAACGGTATATTTCATCAACCTCCCCCACCAAAATTACCATGGTATCATCAACTCGAGACGAGTTGGTAAAATAATCTACTTAAGTGCGGAAAAGATCAGATATTGCATTCACTTTTGTGCAAACATAGAAAAGGAGACAGGTTAAAAAGCATATTTGCTTTCATTTTTACAAAAAAGGAACGTAGGTGAGGTGGTTGGCTAGTGGGTTACCTTGTAAAAGTTATAAGGATCGAATCCTGTTGGCACACTATTTTTTGACGAGAAAGATTAATGCGAGTTAATTACTCACCACCTGAAAATCGGGAATCAGAGAGATTAACGCGAGTTAATTACGCACCTAAGAATCGGGAGTCAGAGAGATTAAGGAGAGTTAGTTACGCACCACCTGAAAATCGGGAATCAGAGAGATTAACGGAGTTAATTAGGCGACGCGGGAGAAAAAGAAAATCGCTCGATCGAACATAATTGTCCGTGTTTGACGCTAACCACCAGTCGACTGGTGGTTAGACTTCTCGATTTAAAATTGATGTAAACATGTATGCCTCTCCACTATAGTACTCACTAGTGAAAAATGAAAAATCAAAAGACATAATGGTTTTTCCCAATGCGTAATAAAGAAGGATAAAAATGTTCAGTTGCGTTGAAGTGCACAACAAGTATTACTAAGCCAGTTGGTTAACCTCTTCGAGATAGGAATAGACGACCAGAGTTCAAATCCCCACTCTAGCAATTTTTTTCTTCCACACAACACTGAATTGCGCAGAGAAAAAAAAGGGATCTGCGAACGAAAAAAAGATCACGCGGGGGAACGGGATCGTACGTGCCTATCGGTAACTACCAGTCGGCAGGAAAATAGTTTTTCCGATTCAAAATACATTGAAATAAGAGTTGTGCAAAAAAGATAAATCTGGGGCTGTACATGATACTATTCATTCTCCCGGGCCATGGATTTGTATTTTTTTGTACAGGTCGCAACTCAAGGTATTTCATCATGAATTTTTACACACATGTGAGCTACATCATTAATACACGCATATTTTTTTTCAGAAATTTTTGAACAATAAAGTTTGAATTTGAATTTTTCAAAAATAAAGGCCTCAATGGAATTCGTCCTCCAAAATGTCTTTCTCACTTGTATCATATGTCTCACCTCTCATGATGTAACATCTATACCAATATAATAGCATAGACGCACAAAAGGGAGCCGACGGCGGGCGTCCGGATGATTGGTGTGCGGTATTGTGACGGTTTCACGGGGAGAAGCACCCCTAGTCATGCCCGACATATAACCATATCGATGAATCCTGTTAACAAATCTTGGTATTATGTTTTGTGTGATTGCTTGGTCCTTAGATGATCGTGTATGAGCTTTGGATTTATTCTAACAGCAGCGACATTGGACGAGCTAGGAGAGTGAGCAGTGTGTCCATGGCCGCGCGGTCATGGCCTTACGGGCGCGCCTGGTACGGCCCTCTGTAGGAGTACGTCAGCCGTCGGATCAGGGACCGGAAGGGCGACATCCGGTGTTGAACAGGATGAGCGTGCAGGTGACCGGGAAGTGAGACGCATTAACGACGCAAGGATAAATTATGAAGGAGAGTACAGTACTCTCGGGATGTCTTGTCCAAAGGCTTAACAGGGCAAGGCTCCATAAGGCTGGTTGTAATGGGGAGTATCATATACTAGTATCATGCATATGATACTAGTGTATGATACTACCTCTCTAATGCATAGTATCATATATTAGTATCATGTAGTACTCTATTTATTGCCATTCTTGACACGAAGTAGCATATCATTTAATATGATACGGTATCACGATATGATACTACACCCTCTCTTTCTTCATTTAATGCTACGACACCTTATTAAAATTGCCTAATTGGCATGCATAATACTAGCTATGATACTACCATTACAACCAGCCTAACTTTCCCATCCACCGGTTCCCGTCGGGTTCACGTCGCATTCACACACCCGGCTTTGGCATGCAGGGACCAGCGAGTAGCCTTTTGCTCTGCCTGGCCTCGATCTGCGCGAGCGAGTTCGTTGGGGACTCGGGTCGGGCCTTGATGGATAGCCGCCTCGCTCGCCGTCGACATGTGGTGGCTGTGGCCGTTGCTCCATGGCGGTCCGGAGTGAGAGCGCACGCGCCGCGCACGGTAACTCACAGAGTGGCCTCCGACGATAGCCACAAGCCGGGTGAACTCGTGTGTGCCCGAGCTTCCCACCTGCTCCTGCCCACGTGCTTACAGGTTTGCAACTGCACCGTGTGTTAGGTCAACTCCAAGCGACCCCAAACAGATGTCTGCTTTGTCCGCATTTCGTCCGTTTGAGGTGACAATGAGGCTGTGTCCGATCGGATTTATGGATGCGGCGGCCAACGCGCGACCATATTTCGGCCGCACCTCGTCCGTTCATCAGCACAGTAGATAAAATGAAAATAATGCATATGAAATTGTTCAAATAGTCTTACCATCCAATCAAAATTTGTTTACATGAGAAGAAAACAATATGAAATAGTCTTGCAACCCAATCAAAATTTGTTTGAATGACAAGAAATTGAACTCATATATCTACTGATTGCCAATGTAAGTCCACACATGCTCAACCAAGTCATCTGAGCTGGACATGAGTATGTCAATCATGCAACTCCCGATGAAGCTCGACAAACTGCTCAAAGGTTGCAGCAGGTGCATGCTCAGGCTCAACATTTTCACTCTGAAAATTAAACCCTTGGTTGTAGATGCTATCATTGCGCTCATCCTTCACGATCATGTTATGCATGATCACACAAGCAGTCATCACCTTCCAAAGCTTCTTGATGCTCCATGTCAATGCAGGGTTACGATCGATACCCCACCGAGACTGAAGCACACCGAAAGCACGCTCCACATCCTTCCTAGCACTCTCTTGCATTTGGGTAAACCTCTGTCTCTTCTCTCCTTGCGGATTCGGTATGGTCTTCACAAGGGTGGACCACTGAGGATAGATGCCATCAGCTAGGTAATATCACTTGCTGTAATGGTGGCCATTGACCTCAAAGTTGACCTCTGGGGAGTGCCCATTCGCAAGCCTTGGAAACACCGGAGACCGCTGAAGAACACTAATATCATTCTGAGAACCAGCCATGCCGAAGAAAAAATGCCATATCCATAGATCTTGTGAAGCCATAGCTTCCAGTACAACAATGGCACCTTTTACATGCCCCTGTACTGCCCCTGTCAAGCAAATAGTCAG